AGGAGATGCTAAGATTCATATGACAGGTGCTGAGTCAGGAATGGAGGATAACACTGAACCAGAATCAATGACAAGGAAATGGTAGCGGGAGATGCTAAGATGCATATGACAGGTGCTGAGTCAGGAATGGAGGATAACACTGAACCAGAATCAATGACAAGGAAGGAAATGGTAGCGGGAGATGCTAAGATTCATATGACAGGTGCTGAGTCAACAACGAAGGATAACACTGGACTAGGATAAATGATGAGGAAGGAAATGGTTGCAGGAGATGCTAAGATTCATATGACAGGTGCCGAGTCAGGAATGAAGGATAACATTGAGCAAGTATCCATAGCAAGGCGGGAAGGGGTTGCATCGGAGTGATACATGTGTTATTGCAGTTCTTGTAACTATAATATAATGTGTCTGTTAAGAGGGTTTGTAGTTTGTTTGGGTAGCAGTTATAATCAGGGGATAAACAGTTCACGTGGGTAAAGTTCTCTTTGTGTAAATAGGAAGCAAAGATAAAATGCTTCTTTTTTGTATTCATTATGATTTCTTCCTGAATTCTTTGTAATTATTCTATTTCTTTAATAATGCTTCTTTTTCATATCTCATCTTTCCTTCTCTCAGTCTTTTCTTCAAACACTTCACCTACCTTACACATTCCATCAAATACTTGATGGTATTAATCCTTCTCTGCTCTCCTATCTCTGGATAATTCAGCTACTGAACTTAACTCTAGATTCTTTTGAGCTCTAAACCACAAAACCCCCAATTTCTTAAACCATAGCTTCATTTATGGGACACGGACTAAGATCTACCATTGTCACATGTATCTAGACAAGAAATCTCAACAATTCCTAACCAGAAAAGGACTACAGACATGAACCCATGAATAAAAAACAAATTCACTTAGCAATTGAGCTTTATGACTCAAAATAGAAATTCAAAAGCAAAAAACTTACTTGTAAGGTTCTTGAGATACAGCAAAGAGGTTGTCTCACAAGATCTCTCAGCAGCTTGCAGTTTTGTGAGCAAGATTGATTATGTTTTTTTTTTTCTTATTTTATAAATCAGAGATTGTTTAGGGTTTTAATATGCTATGGTATTTCTCTAACTCAATTGAGTGCTTGACTTTGTAATGACTTGTGTTGGGCTTCTGTGCACCACTCATTTAGTTATGCTAAAAATTTAATTGTTATTCATATAATAGTAGGTAATGAATAAAGAAATATGAATATTGAAATTTATGAACAGACAGTAAAAAATTTGACAAAAAAAAAATAAAGAAATTCAAGTGCAGACCAAACTTCTAATCCGGATTTCAGATGATACATTAATTGGATTGCCATGCTATCATACAATTTCTACCAAGGAATTATTGTTTAGTGGAAAGAAAGTGAGAAACAGAACACATAAAAGGAGTGTTTAATAAAGTTGAAATAATTTGGAAAAGGCTTACTGAAAAGAAGAACAATTATTGAAGATTTATTGAGGACCATGAGAGAGGAAACTATCCACCAAGTCATTAAGAAAATGTAAGTATACTTGAAATTGAATATAAAAATATAATAATAGATGAATTCGATAAACCAAGAAAAAGGCGGTATTGTCTTAGTCATAGAAGAATAGATATAATCATAGTCGTGCCTTTGATCTCAATTGCAATTTGAGCATCACTAAAATTTAGACCACAACAAAATTGATGGAACTATAGATTCGAACCTGTTTGATATTGTAGTGGTGGTTGTTTTTCAAAATGCTTTTTATTTGGGAATGCATCAAAATAATGTTTTTTTAAAAAAATATTTTTGACGTTAGTACATTAAAACGATATGAAAACACCAAAAACAAAATTAATATGAAGCAAAGAAAAAAAATTTAAAATTCAATTTTTTTTAAAAGCGCTATTGAAATGCAAAAACAAAATGGCTAAAAAGGAGGAGCTAACAAAAAAAGAAAGAAAACAAAGATGAGGGGTATTTTCTTTCAAAATTCAGGGTTCTTGACATAAGTTCCAGATTAGTAATCTCCTGATGAATCAGATTAGCACAAAGGATATGTTGGTGCCAGCTCATTAAAAGCATGTTCCTTTCCAGCCACTTGATCAGCTTAAAACAGCAAACCTCAACATTTGAAAATCCTACTCCCTCTATACCATTAACAATGGCCCTTTCGCCAAAAAAAAGAAAGGTTTAAGGAAGCACCAACAGTCCATTAATTAGAGTTGGCTTTAGCATGCTATTCTTTTTTCAACCGTAAGGTGTCTTAACTACTATGCATTCTTGTATTAAAAATTCAAGCAAATAATGATAAATTTCATCATTAAATTAGAACACAAATTTGATAAATCAATTTAAATAAAGTGAATTTGAGGACATAATGATTTATATCAAAGCACACAAAAAAACAGTCAAGGTTTTACCTGATAAAGGAGAGATCATAATTTGTGATGAGAATCTCACTTTAACCTGCTACCTTTTTTTTTCAAATAAATTCTGCATAAAAGAACAAAAAAGATATGAATAGAATTGAATTTGAAAAGAACAATAAACAGAAAGGATTTTAAGTTCGCAATTTTCTCCAGATAAATGAATTTGGGAAAACAAAATCCACCGATTACCTTGCATCTTTAGATCTGGCAATAGATAGGGAAATGTGATTTCCTGGCACAAGGACACGCAATAGCACAGAGTTTCCACCCTAGTATCTTTAGCCATCATCAATTGTCTTCTCCAGCATCCCAATAAATTCAAGAGAACAAAGAGACTCCATTAGTCAAAACTTCTATCTTCATCAAATTTATGAAATTTATGCATGTGCCAATTCAAAAGCTGAAAGACATTAAGGAGATTGGAGATCACAATCCACATGTATCTAACAAATTATCTGAACAGACACCCAAAAGGGCAGTATTTTTTAGGAGAAACGAGCCAAAGTTGAATTTCCAATACCTCTCTAGAACAAACACAGAACTGTTCAATGACTGGTATCACAGGGACTAGACCTTTGACACTGGCATGGCAGATTACAGATTCGAGCAAACAAAACAACCAAAATCCCATAAACAAATTAAATAAACCAAATAGCCATCATACCATAACTTCGACCTTGAAAGTAGAGAGTTTTCTTAACAGCACATAAAATAAACTGATACATAGCAGCTCTTCTTCTTTTTTCTTCATTCTAGCACGTTCAAGTCCTCTTTTGTAGGTGGGAGTTCCTGTCATGTATAAAACAACAGACAGACAAACAC